GGGCACTAACCTGCACCCTCACTCTGGCGCAACCTGCCATTTCTTGCTTTCTTGCAGGCTAACAGTCGGCAAACATCGGCTGGCACTTGGCTTCAGGTTCAGAGTTCTATGGGAGCACAAGGAATTGCTTAGTGGACCGGGGACAGAGTCGAATGCAAATCCCGCCCACATCATTCTGCGGCCATGTGAAACCAGCCCAGTTGTTCAACACCCCAACCCGTTTCCAATCCCGTCCTGGGGAATGTGACTCGAACTGGCCTAAACGGCGGCGCAAGCATCGCAAGGCTTGCCAAACAGGACGCCTGAGATGGTTTTTCTCGGACTATTCTGAGCCAATTGAAGTGCAAACCATCAGAGCTCCATTTTTCTTGCAATATTATGAGCCCCCCCCCGCTTGGGACTCCAGGCACCTGACCCCTTCCCTTCTTGCCAAACTGAAAGGGCTTGCGGCTTACTTGGTGCGGCAGTGTGCGGAGAGGGGGGAGAGAAATCGGGGGCATCCCCAGAAGGCCATGGGGAGCACGAAAAGGCTTGCTCTGGCTCACCTTCGGGTCTGCACCAAACACAGATCAGTTTGATCTCTCCCCGGGTGCTATGTCAGTAGGGTGAGATTCAAACCATGATCAAGCAGCCCCCACTGGTAGGGTAGGTAGATACTGTAGTTAAGCAAGGGAAGGGGCGACCAAACTATCACCATCAGGTCGCCCTTTGGGGGCTGGAGCAACTAGTCTGACTCAAAGAGGCAATCAAGCGACGCCCAGCGCAAACCAACCACCTCGAGTGCCCCCCTCGCCCAAGACTCCTGAGGATTGATCTGTGGATACCATGGTATTCACAATCCAAACATGAGGTGTACACCGGGGAGCGATTCCCACCGTGATGTCAAGGGAACGCCCTTCCACATGCATAGTGCGAACCAAGCCCTTGCCACAAGCCCGGCAGGCCTCTTGCTCTCGGAGTCTCAATCTGTCTCTGGTCCGCTCCAGCTCTGCCTCGGACGTCCACATCCCAAATCAACCCTTGGCTTACTTGAAGGCATGTCAGCACACACACACACACACGTATATATATATATATAATTACATGTATATATATATACGTATCTAACTAGATGTGTATATATATATATATACATATGCATATGTATATATAACTATGCATATGTATATATACCTATATGCATCTATGTACATATTATATATATATATATACATATTTATACATTAAACCACAAAATGTGACAGGGGTCCACCTCCACTCCAACCCCAGAAGCATTGCCCCTTGCTCATTCATCGGGATCCCAAAATAGGTGGTTTCCTTTCCCCGCATGGGAGCCAACTATCAACACAACTGCCGACCTTTGAGACAAGACCGGCCCTTTTGGAAGCTTTTGCAGGCATGGCGAACAACCAAATCAAAAAGGCTTGACGCGAAAGCGGGTGCCTCCCTTCCCAAGAACTCCTCCCCCCACGCCTTACAAACAACGGCGTAACAGCATGGTGTTGGGGACCCTGTGTGATGGAATAATGCCCCAAAGCAAGTCATTTTGTGTTTGCAAGGGTGGCAAAGAGTGACCCTCCACGCAACATCTCTCTGATTTGTTTCACGTCCAATCGTCCAGCGACTGTGGAAGAAGGGAGCCTTTCTGGGGTTGACCACTTTGCGAGGGGAACCCACTAAACAAAAAGACATAAGGCTGGCATTGAACCACTTGGCATGTATATGACCGTGTAACTCCCCATTCCCCAACTTCCCGGAAATGAATCGCCCTGGCTCATCTTTCCCGTGGTAACAGCTTGCCCTAAGCGCTGAGAGCCCCGGCGTTGAGCATGAGATTCATTTGCTGCACCTGTGTAAAGCCATCGCCTCGGAACCATGCAACGCCCAGATTCCAGAGGACTCCAAAGACCAGGTTCCCTTGCCTTGATGGCAGTCTGTTGTGTTCAGATTGGATTCTGCAAAAACCCGGCAGATCCATCAGTCTCACTGGCGAGATGCGGATGCTCAGTTTTTTTTTTTTCATTCTTGCAAGGGCAACAAGGGAACCCAATTATTCACCCTCATTGTTCTTATTTCCGGAATCCGCCGTATTTGACAGGGGATGTTAAATTTCCACTAAACTGAGATGGCTAGCTTCTGTAAGTACTCGGGGGGCACGAATACCTCCTGAAGACACAAATTCACCCGCTGTTGAACAGCATTTACGTGGGGATGTCGGCCGCCAAAGATTTTGGACGGAGTCCCACCAGCAAAAATCCGCACCATTAAGACGCAGCCCATGCTCCCAGAAAAAGGTGGACGCCGACGCCCCCCACCCCTTTCCGAAAAAGCTTGAAACACAGGTACCTAGACCAATTCCAATCTTCCGCGGGGAGAACCAAGCGGGAAAAAAAGCAACGCGTCGAAACCCCGCGCAAACGAGAAGAAGTGAAAAGCCCAAGAAGCGCAGTTGCTCCAGCTCCAGCTCTTGATGCCGAACGCGCTCTTGCGCCATTGCCAGGGCCTCAGACCGTGGACGCGAGACCTGTTCTTGCGGAAGAACCGCAGGCAACCAGCGAGGAGTTCTGGAAATGCCACTCGAGGAAACCACAAAGGATGCTTCCCCGCCCTCGTTGGAAACTTTCAAGCGCAATGAGCTTGGCATGCGCGGCCACTGTTTTCTCACCAGTTGACACTGAAATCAAACTGGCTCGCAGCAGCTTAAATTCCCATCAGGCGGTCATCCTGAGCTGGCTGGCTGCAGGGGCCAGTGTCGGTTTTGGCACTGAGCGTAGCGCAGATCGAAGAGCCTGGACATGCCTCGGTGCGGGCCAGGAATCCGACAAAGGCCTAAGGAATATGAACCCCACGGCTTTCCAATTTCAGCCAACCAAATACGAAGCGTCGGGGGGGCAAACAAGCATGTCAAAACGTATGCGAGTCCCAAATGGCTTCGTCCCATTGGCGTGCTTTGGGCTTGCGCAGGCTTACGTCCCGCGTGGGCGCAGCTTGGCACATGTGTGCCAGCTTCCATGGGCTATGTCCTAGGATGTCCTAGGCATGCCAACTACTTGGAGCCTCTTAAGCTTCTGCTGAGCACAGCCTACTTGCCGGCAGCCAAATCAACCGTTTGAGGCGGCCCAAATCCGCTGCACCCAACCTCAAGTGCCTCTCCACCGCCCCTTGCCCCGTTGATCTCAGCCCGTCGCTGTCCGGACGGCAGAGTAAACTGTCCAGAAATATCCTGCGCCACTCGTGTGGAGCTCAGGGTAGATGCTTGGGCAGCTTCAAGGTGCTGGCTATGGCCACAGGACCTATGGTCGAATTGCGCCAAACCTCAGAAATTCTTTCCTATGGCGCTATGTCCAGCTGCAAGCGTCCTGACCATGATGAGCGGCATGCTGCAGCCAGGGCCTGCGGCTTTCGAGCCCATGACTTGATTGGGAAACCCAAGGCAAACAACGGGATTGAATGCGACTGGGCATCACTGGGCAGGGCAGTCACATGTGTTCTTTGCATCCTTTTGCCACAATTGATAAGCCATGGTTCGTGACATGCCACACTCTCATGCTGAGCCGGTCACTGTTCCGAAGGCTGAACTGACTGCGAGAAGGCGTCCTCAACGAGCGAAAATGGAGCACTGCGCATGGCGCCTCTCCGCCCTTCGACCCCCGAATGCCATTAGGCCCAGAGCGGCTTAAGGGAATCATATCAATTTTGGATGAGTCCGGAAGACCAGTCAAATTAGAGGTGCTGTTCTTTGTTTTGGGGAGATCCCAAGCGGACAAGAATTACATCCCAGAAGGACGCGGGAAAATTGGATCGTTCCCCGGGTTTTGTGGGGAATTGTCCCCCGACTTTCCAGCTTCCGTCCCGTCCTGTGCTTGCTGCGTCACCAGTGCATGATGTGGCAACTGCCTACCAACGACAGGCACAAGTTGACACGTCTGAAGACCTGGGCTTTTTCTTGAAACCGACCAACAACCATTTCGAGATGGATGTTTACCAAAATAGGGGACCCCACATGGTAAGAGGGCCCTGGCCCTCCTTCGAACATCGAACGCCATGCAAGGGTCCTTTTCAATACTTCGCCCAGCTTTCTGGGTCCAAGAATCCTCTCTCCGAGGTTTCATGACTAGCCCCCCGCCCCCCCCACTGCTCACAATGTGAGCCAAGATGTAAACGGGCAGGACCGTTTCTGTTCGCCGGACTGTAACCTGTTCCCTAGACATAAGGACCCGTTTCTGGGACCCCTCCAACCTCTGATCGTGCCCTTGTTAAGTTGGGAGTGGGGGATGAGCCCGACAAAATTGGGGTGGGGGTGATGGCTGGACATGCGAGCCAAACCACATACCCTCGCCTCGTGAGACTGAAGGTGATTACTTTGCCACGCCAACAAGTCACTTTGCTTTGCCGACCTTCACCTTCACAATTCCCCCAAATACATTCATATTACCAAGCAAGGGATTCTCAGCCTCCTTCAAATGGGTGGTTTGGCTCGGTGATCTAGTGGTTGAGGGATGGTGTCCCATTTATCCCTCTAGAACAAGGGGGTCAGCTGCCCGAACCACCAATCCAACCACCAATTAAGGCTAAAGGGTTGCCTGAGAGCTGAACAGCTCATTTTCGCCAAAGCCTTTTGGCGTCTGAGAGCCGCGCCACCCATGCATTGCCTTTCCGAGGCTCTGCAGGATGACATGCTGAGCCCAATGGCCGCGGTGAGTATGTCCTCAGCCCCGAAAAATATCGAAAACCGAGTCCCGCCAAAGGCAAGCCTCGGGCCCGAGGCAGAGCTCCTGCTGTTCCGGACATTGGACTTGGAAGTGTGAAATCCTGAGCGGTTTCCTCTCGATCCCTGAGGCCGCCGGTAGCAAATGCGAGGACGTTGGTGTCACAAAATGACACCGGGGTCCCAAAACGGACCAATTTGCCCATGTTTAGCAAACTCTCGGCCCGCGTTCTCAATCTTCAGCTTCACTGTCGCAATATTGTGGGCCATCGAAGGCACCCAGCACTTTTCAGCTCGAATCTAAGTCTTGTGCCCCCCCCACCTGCCCAGGCTGGTGTGAGGGCATCCCAGCCGAAGCTTCAGCTCGGGCCACTCTGCCATCTATCAAATGCATTCCCTCCAACGGGCCTTGAGCCCCAAGTCTGGCTCGTGAAAGCCCCAAAAGACGGCATTGAATCCCTTTTGTTGGCAAACCATGTCCCGCGCATGGGGCCATGGCCAAAACCGGGAAACTCCGCAAAGACCAAAACCAAATGACAGCCAAACCATCGTCAAACCCCCGCACCGCTCAGTCGCCAGTCGGGGAGCCTCAGTTCGGGCCGTGCACTGGGCTGATGGAGCATGGGAGCCTTCGGGCGCGACTACGGGGCATGGCATAACCAAGGAAAGGACCTGCCACATGAAGGTGCCCGCATGTGCCCGCTGAACGCCTTTCCAAACCATACAGCTCTCTGCGGGCGCATTTCCAATATATGCTAACACACGAGGCTCCAACGAAGCCCGTGTTGCAACCTTCCAGCCAGGCCAGGGAAGAGTGCAAAGTGCCCGGCACTTTGGCGCTACGTTTCTGAGCTTCGCGCGCTGGGATCACCACACCTCTCGTGTGAAGAAAGGGGATGCATTTCCGTCCCTCCCCAATCTGGGAAGTGAACAGGCAGGGTCCCCAGAAGGAAAGTCGTCTTCCAAAACCCTCCTGCTAGCTTTCCGTAAGGTGTGTCTGGAGTGCATATGGGGAGAGACTTTCAACATCTGACACCACAAGCAGCTCAAGGAACATGGGCCAAAAGGTTCCAAAAGGAGATCCTTAAACAAGAGGGACGTGTAAGAACTCAATTCAGGGATTGAACCATGCAAGTATCAAGAATGTCTATCTTTGACTGGCCCCAGGTAGGCTTAAAAGGGACACATCATTCCCTGAGAAGGGAAACCACTTGGTTTAAGTCGCAGATTCCCCTGGTTTGGGGTTTGGCTTGGTGATTTCACTTTTAGGGGTGGATTCCCATTTGCGGTCTGCAAGAACCAGGGGTTTTGAACGGCTTCAAATCCCCAAACCGCCAATTAAGAGTTACCTAACATTGGGCAATTAGATTCAGAGCCTGTGGATACTTCTGGCATCTGGGGCCTTCTTTGCCGCGAGCATGCGCCGGAACTTTCCATCCTGCAGATTGATGGGTGCGGGCTTCGGATTTTGGCTGCACCCCCAACCAGCAAAGACCCTGAATTCTCAACAGCCACTGGCGGATCATTGCAACGGGCGTCATTCACTTTTCGTCTGCCCTGAGGAAAAAAGAGAGCACCCTTACCCGGAAAAGAGTACCCGTACCCACCCAGAAACCTGGGGACCCTTACGTACCCAGCACAACCAACCTCCGACGTTTTTCGGCTGGCGGGTGGTTCTCCGCTTGGGCCCTCTGGGCTCGCTCGTCCTGTATCTGCTGGAGCTCCTTCACCGTGCCCTGCCTCGGCGAAGTCGCGCCAGGGGACGCCCCCCGTGGCTCCTCTGCCCCTTCCGGAAAGGATCAAAGAGAAAGGAGGCCTTGTGACCATGCGCCCTAAAGGGTTCAAGCCCAAAGCCGGCTCCCATGGAAACGGGAGTGCCGCTTTTCACGGCTATCATGCAATGGCCATGATGACACCGTCTGAAGAACGGGTAAAATTGGCGATGATATTGCAGAGGTAAATGTATAGATACATTATGTATACATATATATATATATATGTGTGTGTAGCCGGACTTGTTGTGGTCTCCACGGCACGGCGTGAACAGTACCGGTGGTACCCGTGTATATAAATGTATTTATATCTTTCCAGGTTTGGGGGGGATCTCACTATTTTGACACACACCCATGCACCACAAGCTGGGAACAATGGGAGTTCACATTGCTGTTCGCACGTTTCCGTACATTTCTGAGCTTGGCTCACTCTGCGTAAGCCCTTAAATAAGGATGAAGGAGAATAGAGAGAGTCATATTCTTAGGGTTCCTTCAAGAGAAAGCTGAAGGGAAACCCACCTCCGCCCTACCCCTCTCCTCTCCTCTGGGGCCCGGGCTCCGCCACCTCGCCCTGGTCCAGGACCACCAGCTGGTCGAACTCCAGAACGGTCTCCAGGCCTGTGGGCGCTAGTGCCAGCATTCAGCTGAGCTCTGCCTTTTCTTTTCTTAGGTCTTGTGCTTTGGTACGTCAAGTGTGCTTGGCTGTCTCGGGTTGGTTTTCTCTCAGCGTGCCTTAAAACACACTTGTTGGGCTGCTTTACATGGACAATAAATGGAAATGGCCAGCGCTGCAAAATAATATTTACTCCACACGAGGGAAACTCCTCATTTCAAGTCTACCTTGGGGCTAGTCAAAGCCCTCTCTCTCTCCTTCTCTCGCTCTCACTCTCGCTACAGGGTGAGTAGGGGCTTGGTCCCGCCGTGATGCCATGCAAGGCGCACGGCAAATGAAGAGTTTGCCTTGACACCCCTCGCATCGGGAAGTCAAGGTGCCAAAGCGAATCCCAGGTGGCCAAGGATCAGGAGGGGAGGGGGCTTGTCCAAAATTGTCTCACTTCCTGAGTGGATCGGCCAAACGAAAGTCCAAACTTTCTATTTCCCACGACAATCATCTTTCCAAAAAGTCTTAGCCAGGAGCTCTCAGGAAGTGAGTTGTTGTCCAAATTGATAGGCTCTCTGCATGATGCTTCTTCTGCCGCTGTCATCCGTGGGCACAAAACCCTTGGTCCAATTTTGCCTAGTTGCCAGAGCTCCCTTCCCTAGTACGACCCTGCTAACTGCATCCCCCATGGCCATTGGCAAAGCTATGGGGTTTGCCAAGTAGCGCTAGAAGCTAAAGTGCCTCAGGTACCTCACTGGACCGCGCAGAGAAGTTCTCGGGCGACGGCGGTGCGCAATCGCCACTAAGGTGGAGTCGGGGAAGGCATTGCCTGGGCAAAGGCGGAAGGTATGAACCGATCGGAACCCCAGTGGCCCACGGCTGGACCTACCATTGTGGTTCCATGGGAGGCCAGCTGCCACACGACTTCAATTCGTTCGTGGCTTTGGTGACTGGCTTCCTAGACTAAGTCGCACGTGATGCAGCTTGAGGGGAGCATGTAGGCTCAAAACGGCACCCTCAAGGAAGTCAAACTCAAGCCGTATATAGAAGAATATCCAAAACCGCGGCAAACCAGGCCGTTTAAATCCACTGTTCCCTGAAAGGCAACCCTCCAATGGTAAGCAGCACCAGTATCAAACCAGCGAAACTCCAATGTAATTCCTGCATTCTACCACTCCGGTCAAACAAAAGAGATTGGCAAAGGCCCTTGCCAGGTTGATGCAACTTGCGCAGCTCACAACACTTGCCCTTCCCCTCCAGTAAATACCAGTGCCGCCACTCCACTGAAATTCCGGTGACCCCAACGCAATTCCAGTGAGAATCCAGTGCCACCCCAGTGAAAATTCAGTGCCACTCCAGTGAAATTCCGGTGCCGCTCCGTGGCGTGATTTGCACTGAAAGCATGAAGCAACCACGTCTGCATCAGCCAACCCCACCGCTGAGGTTCATTCTGATCGTCTCTTGCACATTCTCCTGAGGAGCGCGGGCTGCAGGTCCATCAGCCGCATCTGTCAACTTCTGCCTGCCTTACCTTACCCACAATACATGCTTGACCTGTGGCTACGTGTGCCGGGGCTCCTTGAAACATGGGCCCAACTCACCCCCGCTGGCTCCTGCGTTCGCGGATCAATGGCCGAAGTGGCCTGGCGCCCGCAATTTCACCCCCAATCCAGGAATTAAGTAAGAACCATTTGGATCCCTGATTGCCAACATGGCAAACCAAAGGTCGGATGGCTGGCTCTAGGCAGAACTGAGAACAGCCTTGCCAAGAAACGCAAAAAGAGACGTTCTCGATCAAGTATCAAGCCTCATGTTCAAACATGGCCAGCACGGTTTCCCTCAGGAATCCTAATTTAGTTTGGGCTGAGGAACAAAGCTGCGCGGATTTTGCAGCCCGTCCAAGGCCGAACCGTACATGTGTGTGTGTATAATATATAAATATAAATATAAATATATATATATGTATATATATATGTGTGTGTGTGTGCGTGTGTGTCTGTGTATGTGCAGATATGTATGCATGCATGCATGCATGCATGCATGCATGCATGTATCTATGTATGTATGCATGCATGCATGCAGGTAGGTATAATATATGTATATACATATATATATAATGTGTGTGTGTGTCTCTGGCTTCCGCTCCTCAGCAGTTCTGACTTTCCAAGGCCATCCCAAGGATCAAACCACAAAAAGGCCGGCCCTCCGCTTAAAGGCACGGCCTGCTATGAGAAATTGTGAGAACATCCGCCTAGAACCCCGAGGCGCGCAAATATGCCCCTCCGCCGTAGCCTCGTCCAAGAGCAGGAGCGACGGCTGCCGCAGGACCTCGGTTGTGACGGCTTCGCTGGTTCAAGTGAGCTGTCAATACGTGAGAGCCGCTGCATTGTGAGTGGGAAAGCAGACCAGACTAACCAAGCGAGTACACAAACAAATGCCAAGAGTGCCAGAGGCGGTTCTTGACTTTCGCGCCACAGTTCGTGGATCGTGTGCAACATTGAGCACATCCACAGCTAGAGGCAGCTGGGTGATCCCCAAAGGCTCACACTTATCAATGCCAAGCACGGCAGAGAGTCGCCCCCAGCCAAAAAATGGTTTAAGAAGCTGGCGCTCCGGCTCACCAAGGCCCAAGGCGTGCTTTACATAGTAGAGGTGAGAAACTTCTACGTGACAGCTTTACCCAACGTTCCTTCAAAGAGCTGATGAATGCTCAAAAGTAGAGAGACCAACACGAGCAATCAGTTCAACACGTCCTGCCTGCCCGAACTTGGCTCCAAGGAAGACCAAAATCAATCTACATGCCCGCGAAAGCCCCCGTGACGAGAACAGCGAAACCCCCAGAGAAAGCAACTCACCTCCCCCAGGCCCCCCACCTCCCACCTCCAAGCCCCCGGTGTCTGTGTGTTTTTTGTTTTTGTTTTGTTTTTGCGGCCCCGGCCATGCGGGCCAAGCAGAAGAGCTGGCGCTGGCCGAAGCTCAGGTTGGAGCCCTCGTCGCTGACCTGCGAGACTTTTGAGGCGACGCGGGGCCAAAACCCCACGGGCTGCGAGGCTCGAGCTTTGGACACCGGTTTGCAGGTTAAAAGCAGCGATTTTTAGGTGAATGCCGGGCTTTGCGGGATTTCCGCAAGAAAACAAAAAGGGGACCACCAGAACCAATACCCACCAAACAGCGGAACAAAAAAAGGGGGGGGCAAGCCAAAACTGATGCCCAAACGCGATACATGTTTATTTTGCAAAAATTGGGTCTCCGGAAAATGTTGAACACATCCAAAACGCTGTTCGCCACATCGCGGAGGAATCCCATACTTGGTCACAAAGAGGGGAGCCAAAAATGGTGCTTTGGTTCTCCTTTCAAACCTGAAAAGAGAAGCCTCACTGATGAACACGTGCGCATAAATGGTGTTCAAAGGACCGGCCCCACCCCCTTCCCGTGCCTGATAATTCAGTTCGCCCGTGAAGGTGTGAACCAGTCCGTCCAAATGAGCGCAGCCTACGGTTGGCTTACCCCGGTGAAACGGCCGAGCCGCATGAGCCCCCGGCCACGGGCCGGGGAAAAGGAAGGGGGGGGAAGGGGCGCTGGGAAATGATCGAGTCCCTTGGACTGGAGATGTTGACCGAACGGCTCAGAAGGTTCTGCTGGGAAGTGGGTGGAAAGGCGAAAAGTCGACAAGCCCTTTCACACCGCTTCCATGTGAACCAAACCGAGCAACTCGCGTCTCGCAAAAGCCATCAGCCCCTGGCGTGGCTGAGCAGCCCTCCGAATGAAGGATCCAAAGGTCGCATGCAAAAGGAACTCCTCGACGACATCTGAACAAGGTTGCTTTCAAAACAAACGAACATCTCTAATTTATGGAGCCTTCATGAGGCAAGCCTAACATTCAAAATCAAGGGCTTCCTTCAGAAGGCTTCAAGCAAGTTCCACGTCGAATCTCTTGAATAGAGGCGAACCAACATGAACGCCACCATTGCTGCCGTTTGGACACGCAGCCGCAGCCACCTGTTTCTGCCGCTGTCCATATTTTTTCCTGGATTGACCCCTCGGGGAAGCCACAAGCTGACTTGGGGCTTTTTATGCGATGCACCCAGCCCCCCCCCCCCACATTCTGTCAGTGCTATGGGCCCCGCGTAACGCCTCCCAAATGCGGCCATCCTGGCGCGGCGTTTTTTCGCAAGAGAACCCTGACGGGGACGATCCAACTGGCGACGGGCTTCCCAAGAGCTTGGCCCTTGAAACTCTCCAAAGGGACCTTTATGAACCCGAGGGGTCCAGAGGAGCCAGTCCAAAGTTTTGGGTCACCTTGAAGTTCTGCCTAGAGGAGCCAGTCCAAAAACTCGTGACCCAAAGCGCCGCAAGCCTTCGCCCGAGCGGAAGACACACACACACACACACACACTCTTCCCGATGACACGAGGTGTTGGGTCTAAACACATCGACATTGGATTTTGGTGGGGCATCCGACCCAAAAACCAAAGCGTGCCTACTAGACTCGCCCACTGAACTCCGAACACCCCGCCGTGTACGAGTCCAGGGGGTCCAAGTTGTGACCTCCGGCGAGCCATAAGGACTAGGGGAACACATCTGGGTCAACATGACGTGTCACTGAATTTGCTATACTTGTGCAACATGCAATCTGCTGACTCATCCCTTTTCTCAGTTGTTCTACTTATGTCTATGCATCTGTTTGGCGACCTCTGACAAACTGTGCGGCTTTTGCCTGCCAGGTATGGTAGCACCTGGAGACATGTCTATGGCGTGCAGAACAAGGGTCTGAAAACTTCAAACCATTGTAGCTCAGCTGAACCGGACTTGCCGCCAGGGCATGAACTGGCATGAACCTGGTGTTGGCTGCCCATGTGAAAGTTGCACTGTTCATTTTCCAATACTCTAAACTATCTACATGAATTAGACAAAGCTCGTGTACAAAGTATCAACATTTGTGATCGGGGCTCTTTGTGTTTGTGGGCTCCTGCCCATGGAAGGATGTGTGATGCGCCCATCACTGGCGACAGCGATGCTAAAGCTGGCGACTGAAGACTGAAGACCTTTGCTTCAAGGGAAACCCTGCGCTTGAAAAACAAATGCAGAACATGCTCGCACATGTTGTGGAGGATGAAAGCGGCGAGGTTGTCGCATCATCTCAAGCTTCCACCGTCCCTGGATACCCTGGATACTAGTGCACTAACCTCCCTAGACTAAAGTCTGCAAACACACTGATGTTGAGGAAGCTGCCTGTACACGACCCTTTTCCGGAGTCTACTTCGATTTGTCAGAGCTCTCCTTTCCATGGAGGAGGCCACTGACAAGTCACGGAGTCATGGGCACGCTCGGGCGATTCAATCCGAGCTCCCCTCGCAGGCTCCCCGTGAACAGCAAAGGGTCCTGACCGCGTAAAGGGCCGGTGAGTGTCGTCAAAAGAGACTCCACAGGAGTCACCATCCAAACCTGAATATTCAAAGCGCATACCCCAACAAGAGAATCAAAAGGGCAGCTGCACCTAGTCCTGGCTAGGCTGTGGCCTGCTATCCTTCACCTAGACAGGCATTGACCGAGGTACAACATACGGCTGGCATCCTTTGAAAAAGAAGAAACACTTGCAAACGTATCGATCTAAAAAGGGCACCTCTCGGCGTGGCTCAAGCAACCAAAAACACACAAACACAAACACAAACACAAACACAAGCACAAGCACAAGCACAAGCACAAGCACAAACACAAACACACAAAATAAATAAATAAATAAATAAATAAATAAATAACAAACACAAACACACACACAAAATATAAAACACAAACAGACACACACACACAGACACACAAAAAACGTACACACACACACAAACACAAACACAAACACAAACACACAAACACAAACGCAAACACACAAACACACAAACACACAAACACAAACACAAACACACAAATACAAACACAAACACACAAACACACACAAAGAGAAACAAATAAATACATAAATAAATAAACAAACAAGGAAGCAAACAAACAAACAAACAAACAAACAAACAAACCAGCAAACGAACAAATGAACAAACAAAAAACCAAATACAATTTGTAGATGATATCACGAATCTCTGAATTTCCCCAGTCATCTATTTTGTTCTTGCGGGTTCCCTCCAGGCCGAGTCCCTCATTTGTTCAGTCCTGCGGCACCAAGCCAAGGGCGCCCCTCAAGGTGGACAAGCCTCAAACGCGCAGTCAGAAGTGAAATGAGGTGAGAATTCCCCGGCATGACCTCGCCAAGCGGGATGAAAACCCAAGGAACTGAGCAAGTGCCCGCCCGATCCAGGAAATACCTCTGACACAACAAGGCAACTGCTGCTTGGACTTCCAACGTGCCAACTGACTCTCCAGGATCTTCCGGCACTTGAGGCCACTCCTGGGGATCTTCTCTCAGTGTGGCAAGGAAAATTTCAGCTGGCGGCCCAGGGTGCTGGTGTCTACACCGTTGAGTAGCACCTGCCGTCAAAAAAAAAAGAGCATCGAGTCGGGTGTGGGACACCCCGTCCACCAGTCACCACCATGAGAAGCCAGGGTTCGCATCGGTGGGCGAAATACCCTTCCACCGCGAGTGGGGGAAACCAGGTCCAAGGTGTGTCCGTCAAATCGAGGGCCCCTAAAAACCTGGTTTGCTGTTGGCCACCAGGTAGAATACCATCCAAAAGGGGCACCCTAACTCAGGATGCAGCCAGCCGGTCTGGCGGGGAAAAGCACTTGGACTTGTGTGAGGTCACGTGCAAAAACCAATGTGCTACATCGTAGCAGGCCGATGGACCAAGAAACTTGCCACATACGTTTCGTGGGCAGTGTTCCGACTGCATTCAGGTCGTCGGCGTCTTGTTTTTCTGGGGGAGGGGGGTGGGCAAAGACAGGGGGGGGATTTGCACAAATGTTGTTGTTGCGTTGTCTTCCCGACGTGGGAGGAAAACATTACCTTCACCTTTCCCTGTTTTCCTGGCCCTTCAAGCAACCCTTCGCTTTTCGAAATCGGCACCTTCCCCGCCCGCGGCTCCAGGATTCGCAGAAGCACCTCAGGTTTTTGAGAGTGCTGCAAGCCCCCGGGCGGGAAGGGAACAAAGGCACCTGGATGGGAAACGGGGAACAACACATCGAGATTGAGAACGGGGAATTGTTTACCTCTAAACAAGTCTGCATTATTGCGGGGGCCGAAAAGAGGGGACAAACAAACAACAGGGGCAATCAAAAAGGGCACACATAGAAACAAGGGGCAAAACAACCAAAAAAGAGGAACAATGGGTCCAGAGCTCGTTTTTAGCCTGATCAATAAAGGTCCCCCTAATAACAAACAATGCTTTTCCAGAACCCGACCTCCTTGAATACTAAATTAGAGTTGACCAACGCTAAACCAATTCTAAACTAGCCACATGCCACATTTCCCACAAGGTCCAACCGCAGTCGTATGGGGGCCCCCCTGAGCCCAGTTCTAAAGCAAGCTCAAGCCAGGACCGAAAAAGACCCAAGCAAGTGCATCGTTGATCTTACTTAAATCCTCGGCACGGAAACAGTCGTGTTGACGATGTTTGTGCTTTCTCCCGGTGGGGATTACTCGCATTCGGTAAGCTCGTTGCTATGTATCAATACAGGTTGTTGCAAGGGAGGAGCAAATGGAAAGAGCAAGCTTGTGCTGTGCCCCATAGGTCCCCAGCCGTCTTGTTCCAAGCAGAAATGAGACGTTGAGGGACGACAACCCGACACGTTCGCCGAACTGGTCCTGCTTCAGGGCCTTCACATTTCGCACAAGCTTGCAAGCATCAATTTCTAATGGCAGAGACTGGCAGGCCGTTTCCAATTTGTTACATCTGGGGACGCTATTGTGACGTCTGCGGCCCAAATTGCAGTTCACATGTTTGAAGTGCCGCGTCCAGCTCTACGTGACCTTGCAGGTCTTGATCGCTTCAGTAACTCGGCTAAACACAGCTAGGATGCAGCAAGTGAAAGGCGCCTTCATTGAGCAGTTTCCCTGGCGCCATCCTGCCGTCTGAGCTCAATGCCAGCAGAAGGCTCGACCTGAGCATGAAAGCATGCCGCTGGACAAACGGGATTCGGGATGGCTTGAAGATGGCTTGACAAGGCCAAAGCATCTCTGGCGGCATGGATGGGAAAGCAGGTTGGGACCCATCCCAAGATGCTGGCTTTTTGAATGGGCGATGGGTGGTTTCCTTTGGTTTCCTTAAAGGCAAACGCAGAAAGAATACCTTAAAAGCAGCCAGCCAAATCTCTCTATCGGTCCAGAGGTCCCCGACTTTCCGCAGCCTGTGGTGCCAACGATGCCCACTGTGCTGCGGGGCCTCGAAGGCCACGTGCGCAGACCAGGCTGGGAAATTCGCCTCCGCATATCTTGTGAGGGAAGCCTCCGATGGTAGTTTCCACGTGAGCTTCCCGCTGATCTCCCCCTGAAAACATGCAATATATACACATTTCAGCATGGCTCGGTCGTGGAATGAAGAACGCTATTCGCTCTCCTGCGACCTGCAAAAAAATGAACTCCTCGTCGCCTCCACTGCGCATCGCTACTCGCAGAACACACCTAAGACAAAGCAAACAGCCTTGAAAAAAGGCACGTGGAAGTTCCTTCAAACGCAAACTGGTTGACGTGTCTACCTCATGCTTCAGACATTTCAGACATTTCAGACACATAAGTCCAAACAACTCGGTCGGATGGCCGAGAGCCTCAGGGCTCGGAAAGGGCCCCTGTGGGCCCGGCTGGAAGGTCAAGGTGATGCCCTTCAGCACGTCTCGGGGGATGTCCGCATAGCCAGCTTTGACCTGAAGAATCCTAACATTGAAGGTTTGTTGATGAGAACGGGCGTTTCCCCCCCCCATTTGAAATAACCCTGGGGGCGGGTTAGACATTCTCACGGGCACAACATTGAGTCCCAACTCTGGGCAATTGGAGATTGAAGGAGGTGATGGCAACTGCGAGGACACGACGGCCTCCCAGGCTGGTGCAAAACCATCTTGCTGAAAACCAACGCCGCGTGGGCACTTTGCGAGCCCCGGAGCCAAGTCCTTGGAGGCCTAGGGAAAGCCCTCTCAGATGGGTCTCTTTTGACGGGAAACCAAAAAAAAAGAAACCGTAGAACCGTGGGTGGTCAATCCGAACGAGCCACCCATGGAAGCTTCTCAAGATGGTGGAGCCGCAATGAAAAAAAGAAAGAAAAGAGACAGACATCAAACCGATGGGTTTCTCCGCCGGACAAACCTGGCGTAGCCCATCCGAGCCCTCGACACTCAGCAGCTCCAGCTTCGCCCCGTCTGCGCACCACCCGCTGCGACTGCGGCAAGAGCGAGCGCGCTGCTCGGTTTGGGCCCGGTGGCCCGGGGCTTCCAATAAGCAAATGCCAAAAAGACACCCGAGGCTTGCAGGAATCAACTCAAGACAATGTGTTGGTCATCTTGTGTTGCGTACTCATTCTGAGTGGTTCAAAGTATTCCTGGATACACAGGCAGAAGCAGCGCATCCATCTGGGGCGCCCGGGCACATCCAGAACGACATTTTCGCCAGGGCCTCACAGCCGCAAAAACCGGACAACAGCGCCAGTGCCAGGCCTTCCTTTTCTGCGGCCCCAACAAAAAGCCTCCCCCCCCCAACAGCCCAGGATTTCTGTGCCCTGATACGGCCCTCTTGAGTTGCTGAACCCAAACCGCGAGGGGGTCACTGGGGCTTTTGATGTGCATTGCCCCTCACAGTGACTGAAACAACCCCAGACCAAAATTGAAAGGCCAAAGCGGCGCGCGGGCATATCGGGTTCCAATCGAACACAAAGACTGCTCAGCTTGCCAAAAAAACACCGCAAACACGCGGTGCATGAACGAAGACCCGTGCAAGCGGGACTAATTAGTCCATACACAGAAAAGGCAGCATTGGCATCACTTATTCTTGTTTCTTTTTCGAGTTGTGCTTGGTTGAACCTGGAGGGTTTGTTCTTTGCCATTTTTCCTGCCAGAAATTTCCGAGCTAAACAAACCGTTTTTGCTTGGCACCCCACTTTCTGAGCAACGGCGGGGGCGGGAGGAATCAAACCCTCGATTTTTTGCTCAAATTTGGGAACAGTACATGTGGCCAAACACCAGCCTCAGTCACTTTAGGTTTTTGTTGCTTCGATTGCGTGGCCCCGGCCCCAAGCACGTTCCTTCAGGAGGATCCAATGCTGGCACCCCAAGACTAAGTCACTAAGTTTGGTCATTGCATTTTGATCGCTGCTCAGCTGGTTTATGGAACTTGCATGGGGATGGATGAATTCAACCAAATACCCTTGCACCATTTGCATGGGCAACAAACACAAAAACAAATATGGAGGGCTAGATATAGGTGTCCAACAATCATGTCTTAGGTTCTTTTCCATGGGATCGCCTCACCCATGCAATTTCTGAAAGCAG